GACAGCACATCAATCATAACCGCCTTCTCTGCCAAACCTTTCCGTAAGAGTTGGCCACAAATGATCGCTCCGTCCGTCGATCCCAACACATCGTAACCACCATTTGGTTCGAGTCTTGCCATCAAATCAGTGAAGTATTTCATCACTTCCTTCAAAGTCGACAATCGGTTCACATCTGAAGTCCAATTGAGTCCAACGACCGGTCGGTTAATATTTTGAACCAAATTGTCATACAATGCAAACCCCATCTCCAAAGTCGGCATTAAATACAATGGCTTTCCGTTTGAGACACCATTGAGTCTGACGTGTGTTTCCACAGGAATCACAAATATATACTTTGAGAGCGATATTTGAGCGCTTTTCATGCCATTGAAATAGATTTTAATGGTGTCATCGCCTCCGGACTCAAACTCCCGAAGGAGTCCGACAGACATGTGTTTAATTATTTTCAATTGAATCGTTTGATTACAGAGTTTTGCCAATTCTTGCTGTAATTCTGAGGCAAATATGGACTCAATTCCAATCTCTCCTAAAGTGATGTCCGCCGGAGTGGCCGACGGGTCGATACCCAGAGATCCCCACAACTTATTAATGAATGATTTTGAGCCCTCTTTAGCCCCTGAATCCAATCTTAACAATGAGTTCTCCACTGATTTCACCTGTTTTTTAACAACAAAATTTATTTATTAAATTATTATTTCATAATTTTGAAAACTAATTGTAATATAATATTTTAAAATAGTAAGTAATGAAAATCATAATTATTATATACAAAGTGGTATATAATACTTGTGTGAATTAATTAATTTATACATACATTTACGGCTACGACCGGGTATTTAACGGCCAATAGTTTGTCCAATATTTCACAACACGAATGGATCCGTTGTTTTTGAGTTGTAATTATGTCAAACATTTGTGTCAACTCAGTCATTGCCCCGACGTCACCGATGGGACCAAACTGTATGGCCAGACCCGACAGGCCGTCCCTCTGTCTCTGTTCGCAAATACGCTCACAAATAGAGTTACCGTAAGTATAGTTCAGTTGTCCCTCAGCTCCGAATCCCGACGAAAGAGACGAAAATATCACAAAATGATCTAAATTATAGTCCAATTCTCGGCTCAATTGATCCAAATTCTTGAATATCTTTTCCTTTATGTCAACGGTTTTCATGAATGTCTCGAAAGACACTTCACTGAAGAGACAATTGTTTAACTCGAGGG